GCGAGTGCTGACTTAGTCATCAGATGCCCGACGCGGGACTCTTCCCGGCGTTGAATTCTTGCAGGTACGAAGGCCGTTCGAGTTGAAGGAGTCCGGGTGCAGTCCATTCACCAACAATTACTAATAATGAATTCTGCAGCCTCCTGCTGACCGCGCGTCGCAACGCGGCAATATTAAAATTTATATTTTCCTCGACTAACCTCTACTAACTAGTAGTAGTGGCGAACAAGGGTCGATCCCACGAGGAGTGTGAATCAAATTATGAATTTTCTCGTATTAATCGGAATTATAAAAAGCAATAAAAGAGGGGGGTTTTGATATTTAATAACTAAACTAATTAAAACTCTAATGAAGCAAATAAAATAAAAATAAAATAAAATAAATTAAGAGAAATTCTAGTTCACGGTTCCGTCTACACCCTCGACAGACTCGTCTAATCAATTTTAGTATCAAATCTCGCTATCTCATGAAATTACTAGCCCTAGGTAACGACACGATCTGTTATCCGAATTTTTCCTTATTTTTAATTTAACCGCGAGACGCTCGACGATTAAACCTGACTTCTTGTACAGTCCAGAAAAACGTTTTCAAGATTTAATACAATTAGCCGCTTTACGATTTAGAAAAATAGGCTAGACTAATTAGTGAACTCAACCGCGCTCGTTCACTTAATTAGGCCGTGTTATCCCCGGTAGTTACCATCTTCCAGTTACCTCTTATGAATTAAACACAACAACAATTACGGATTGCGGGTCTAACTCAGATGTAGATATGAAAAGCCTAATCTAGGTGATCAATCTAAACAAGACTAACACATCATGGTGAATTATTCAAAATAACACAAACAATTCCAAAAAGATATTAAAATTATCAACCACGTAAATTAATCGAACATCGTCAAGTCGTAAGGTTCAACATCATCGGAACTAGAATAAAGAAACTACTCACTCATGGTGTTCAAAGACATAATCATAGAATTTAATTACACAAGAAAGAAGAAAAGAAAGAGAATAAAATTCTTCTCTGTTCCAATTGCTGCGATCAGTTTTTCTTCTTTTTCCTGTTTCCCAAGCCTCAGCCGCAATGTCCCAGGTCAAAAGAATGAATCAATAATAAATCCTTTCCAAATCAAAACAAATTGATATATATCCTCTCTTCACAATATCTCACGTCTCTATCCTTTATTTAATTCCTGGTCAACATAGTCTTCCCAACTTAGGCCCACTTCAACTTTAATGCTCGCAGCCCAATTGGATTAATTCTCCTGCCATATACGTGAAATGCATGGGCTTCTCCATGTGTATGGGCCTGCTGGCCAGTACGGGGGTAGCTGGGTCAGTACTGGACGACCCCGTACTTGCTGATAACACTTCTTTGTCATTCTTCCGAGCATCCACACCTCATCGTGCAATAGAAATAGCTCCAAAGATACTAAAAATCACTCAAAAACCCATCAAAGCACGAGAGTTGGTCATAATATCAAATAAGTCGAAAGATGCATAAATGTGGGGAATTAAACGTGCACAATTGTAGCATTAGATGATTAAATGCAAGAACTTTTCTTGACTAATCACCTGCCAAGAGGAGAATAAGAAAGTACTCTGTAACACCTTTGGAACCTTTTGCTTCTAGGTTCAACTGATGCCATGGTACTAAAGAGTCTTCTTTGATTAATTTTTCATATTTATTTTTTTATTATTATCTCTTATTGATTGTTATGAAATTAAATAGCAAGAAATTTTAATACATGCGTATTATTTTTGTACTTAACAGGTAGACATGGCCAAAGGGTCGCCCGGCCCGCCGACCCGGCCCTGACTTGGCCCGGACCCGGCACGGACCCGGCCCGGTCAAACCCGTTGACCACGGGTCCGGGACCGGCCCGGATTTCAGAAGGGCCGTGTAAGGGTCATTCGTTTCATGACTTGGCCCGGAAGGTCAGGGCCGGGCCAGGTCGATGACCCTTCTTTTTAATTTTTTTGTTATTTTTTTATATTTTTTTTCAAAAAAGCACCGACCTGGCCCGGACCCGGCACGACCCGGACACGACCCGACCCGGACACGGACCCGGCACGAGTATAGGTCCGTGCCGGTTCAAGGTTAGTGTTTTTGAGCCCGGCGACCCGGCGGGCCGGGCCGGGTCGTGACCCGGCCCGGGTTTTGGCCATGTCTATTAACAGGTATGTATTTTCTTGTTTATAAGAAGTAATGAAATGACTTAAATTTGATACCAATGTATGTATAACTTTCTCGATGTAGGAGGATGCAATCAAAACTTTCTTGGTCAAGATACAGGCTAATAGTGGGCGATTTTTTTAATAGGAATATTAGTTGTTTTTCTTGATTTGTTGGAATTGGAGATATGATTCTTTCATGATTTTGTATTACATTATTCTCTTGTACATACAGGAGCACAATGTTAAAATTGGTAGATTGTGTTAGTAAGTTTTTTTATATTCATGTTTGTTGGTTCTAGGTACGTGCGATTTATGATTTAAGTCACTTGGTTCTTGTTTTATTGGTACATGGGTTAATAAATATAGGCACAAAAAACACAAAAAAAAAAAAATACACATGGATAACGCTTGTTTAGAAAAGTTCATCTCTGCCTGTCCATTTTTACAAACATACTCATCCAAAAATCCGCTACGCACAATTCAAACTTTTCTCACATGACATCTGTAAGAAAAAGACACAAAAGTATTTTAGTGACAAAACAGTGTAAAAAAACATTTGTGAATTAGGTAATCAGTGTCTTATAAAATAAAACAAATAAATTTTGAACCACAAACGATATTTGGAATCACATAAACAATTTATATGATTTGAAAACCATTGCTGGGATGTTTCTACCGTTTTTGGGATCCCATAAACTATTTTGGGGATCCATAAACCATTATTGGGATATTTCAATGATTTCTGGGATCCCAAAAATCGTTTCTGAAACCAGAAAAGATTTCTGGAACTTTTTGGTTCCAGAAATCGTTTTTGGGAAACCAAAACCCAGTAACTATTTCTGGGCCCAGAAACGATTTTTGGGATCCCAGAAACAATTTCTGGGATCCTAGAAATTGTTGTGGTACTAGAAATGATTTTCGGTTCCCAAATGATTTTTGGATCCAGAAATTGTTTATGGTCCCAAAATTTATTTCTTGTTGGGGACAAGAAACGATTTCTAGGATCCCACAAATCATGTCTGGTATCCAAAAATTAGTTTCTGGGAACTTTTTTTTGGCAATATTTATGTGATTAAATTGTAGATTGTGTTCTTTTAAATAGTTTTTTAAAATTTAAAAGAAAAATTTGGTGTACGAAATTGATTAAAAAAGCATGATAACTTATAAACATACCTTTTAGAAGAGTATTTCCGAGATGTCGCCGTAATTTTGATTTTTTTTTAATGAAATGGAGAGAATGATATTGAGAGAAGAGAAAGAGAAAAATTAGGAGGAGAAATGAGAGAAGAGAGGAGAGTAGAGGTGTCCAAAGGCCGGGCCGGGTCGTGCCGCTGGGTCGGCATACCTCAAATGCTGGACCCGAAATTGACCCGACTATATTTGAACTGGACCGACCCGACAGTTGAATTTTTTTATTTAAAAAAAATATAAAAATAAAATCAACTACAACCCGCCTTCCGACCTGGAAAAATTACGACCCGGAATCAGCCCTTAAGGGCTAAGGCTCCGGTTCAAAAACTGGTAAATCCGGGCTGGTTTCGGGCCGGGTTGACCCTTGGCCATGTCTAGAGAAGAGTGTATATTTATTTTTTTCAAGAAAAATAAATAGTAAGAGTATTTTTGTATTTTTAGGTGTCAAAATAGCTAAAAACATGTTTTTGCCAAACGTGACTAAAAATTGTGTTGGCCATTTCAAAATGGCTAAGGCTACGTTTGGATTAAAAGATTAATCGAGAGATTCAAAATCCATGTTAGGATTGTAATAGAAGTTGGAGGATTTTAAATTCACGCTGGATATGTTATAGTCATATTTTGAAGGATTTTAAATACTCCTCAAACCTAATCATTTGAAATCCACTGTTTATCACCGTTGACGACCACGCCGTACCCGATACCATCCGTGCGAGCTAAACAATTGATTTATAATATTTTAAACACATCCATCCAAAGAGTATGCAAGTAAAAAATTTATATTTAAAAAATTTTAAAATCCAGGGATTAAAATCCCTAAAGTCAAACATTTCCTAACAAAAAATAATTCTCTGTTTATAATTCTTAGAGCATCTCCAATGCTCAACTTTCAACATTAATTAAATTTGAACACATGTCAATCAATGTATTAATGTTTAATCTACATGAACTGAATGTTAAAGGAATAGAACTTTCATTTGAATTGTTGCCTCCAATGCATCCATTCAACAACCATATAATTTGTATATGTAGATTTATTCAATTATTAATAAAATCAAAGAGTATATTAGAAAAATACCACAAATTCCAATAATTATATACATGATGTTATTTTTTGTTGATTCAGTTAATTTTTATTTATATCATCAAATTTATAAAATTATTATTTATTCAATAATTTCTCAGTTACAATATGTATAACCACACAATAAATATTTTTTTAATCGGTTCAAAATAAAACAACAAAATATTAAAATCGCAATAACTCAACAAACAAATATCATGAACATAATATTTTACTTTTCAGGACATTATTATTGATAACTTTTTTAAATTTTAGTTGTAACTCATCAAATAATTATACTGTATTCAAATAAATTCTCAAATGTTTCTTGGATAAATGTAAGGGTGGGATTTTTCCAAGTTTATGAAAAACTCAAAATTTGTGTCAAATAATTATCAAAATGCTGAATCATCATGTTAGAAAGAATGTGAGAAATTAGAAAGTGAGCTTCACAATGTTAACATTAATTTATTACACATAAGCATGAAAGGATCCATAATTTATTTACACACTTTCTATCTAGATGAGGTGGATAACTTTTTACTCTCTCAAAGAATGCATTAGAGATGCTCTTATAATCAAGTACTCGGGAGACACTGTTAAAAACTCAGAGGGAAAAAATGGAGAGCGGCGCTGTGTGTGCTGGGCTACGTTCAAATCCGCCGTCCCACAACCTCCTTCTCGGCCCTTCTACCGGCGCCGTTAAACTCCTTTCTCCTCTATGTATCCGCCAAAATATACTTTCTTTTCAACATCTTCCTTTTCAGGTACTTGTTTACAGCAACGGACACCACATTTTTTCTAAATGGGCTTTTCCTCAAATCTATGTTGATTTTTTTTTTCTTTTATATTTATTTTGAAAAATTGTTGAGTTTCACGCTGTTCGTATGTTTTAGATGCTAGCCTGCTTACTGTTTTATTATTTGGGTCTCCAGCTACAGAGGCAATCGCTTTCAGCTACTTTTGGCAGCAATAGCAATGTTCATTCTCTTAATGCTGCCTCGCCTTCTAGGTACCTTGATCTGTGCAATGAAATACTGCCTACTTTTTGGAATATTCATTGTCTTGTTGATTCACTTTGATTTGTTTTGTTGTTTTAAAGAATCTGGCTTTGCTTGGTGTTCAATTTGACAGCAGCGTAGATTTAGAGTTAGCCAACATTGATTGGGACAACCTCGGTTTTGGGATTGTGCCGACTGATTACATGTATGTCATGAAATGTTCCAATGTTGAAGCCTTCTCTAAAGGCGAATTACAACGATTTGGGAATATTGAGCTGAGTCCATCTGCTGGCATTTTAAATTACGGACAGGTTTCGTTTTTATTAGTTATTGCTTTATCTTGAATTTTCTCTGTAATAGTGAGTTTGGTTCGTGATTTTTACGGTCGAATAAATATATAGGGCTTGTTTGAAGGCTTGAAAGCTTATAGAAAAAGTGACGGAAATATATTACTTTTCCGCCCTGAGGAGAATGCACAAAGACTTAAAATGGGTGCTGAACGTATGTGCATGCCTGCTCCAACTGTGGAGCAGTTTGTGGAGGCTGTAAAAGCTACTGTTTTAGCTAATGAAAGATGGGTAATGGTTTATTTTAATGTTGCTGTTTTCTTTCTATTTATCAATATATTTATATGATTACTATTAATTATTATGATTTGAACTCATTATTCCATTCAAATGTCAATCCTCAGATTCCCCCACCCGGAAAAGGTTCTTTATATATAAGACCATTGCTTATGGGGAGTGGAGCAGTTCTAGGTCTTTCTCCTGCTCCTGAGTACACATTTTTGATTTATGTTTCTCCTGTGGGAAACTATTTCAAGGTAAATGGATTCTTCGTTGCATGCCTTTGATAGAATAGCGAATATATTTGCCAGAGCTTATGTTGTTATCTGCGCATCAGAGGATAATATTCTTTTTTATATGAGTCTGTTTTGGATTATGCTCCTTTTTCTATTTATAGTTTGTGATTCATGAGTTGTGGTGGAACTGCTTGAAAGCTCTGCCTATTGATGTGGTCGTTTAGTCAGTAAATGAGAGATCATTATATGAATGGACTCATAGGCAATATTCTTCCTTATTCTCTCTGTATGTCGTGTGTGTGTGTGTGTGTGTGAAAATCATTTTAGCTACTTTTCTGTGCTGATCATAATTTTCTGTATCTCTATATGTTTCAGTTAATGATCTATTCTGTTTTCAGGAAGGTTTGGCACCAATAAATTTGATAGTCGAGACTGAAATGCATCGAGCAACTCCTGGTGGTACTGGAGGTGTCAAGACAATAGGAAATTATGCTACAGTGAGTGACATGTTCATATTTGTTGTTATTTATTTATTTATTTCACTCAGATCATTTCTGTTTATCTTCTATAGTTTCGGTGTTTTTGTCTATGTTTTTTCCTTTGAACATGCTAATGAAAAATGTTGATTGGACATTCTTGTCTATAGTAATCTTCCTTGTTCAAACTGTTGGATTTCTTTCTGCTTACTGATGTCTGAAGCTTTGGGATACAATATAATCTTTTGTGAATAACCCTTTGCATACAACTTTTGGGATCTGAATGTTATTTATGCTGACGAACGGTTGCATCTTCTGGTCGGCAATCTATAGGTTCTACAAGCACAGAATGTCGCGAAAGCCAAGGGCTATTCTGATGTTCTGTACTTAGATAGTATTCACAAAAAGTACTTGGAAGAAGTATCCTCCTGCAACGTGTTTGTTGTGAAGGTACATTCTTGATCTTCTATTTAACTTGCATTATTTCAGTATATATAACTTTCACGGAGTTAAAACTTGGTAAACTTTGATATTTGACTTTCCATTAGTTGCTCGTGTGATCTTGTCCATTATTTCTCTCTCTCTCTCTCTCTCTCTCTCCCTTTTTAATCTGCAGTGTTTGTTCACTTTCTGTAACTTGGAATCAAATCTCAAAGTTGACTTACTAATATATACTCAGGGCAATGTGATATCTACTCCTGCATTAAAAGGGACAATTTTGCCCGGCATCACTAGAAAGAGCATACTTGATGTTGCTCTCAGTCAAGGATTCCAGGTATTTTAGTCGGTTGTTGAGTTTTGTAAAGATTATCCGTAGTGGACTAATTAATAATTATCAATCGTATGCTTCAGTTAGCAACTAAATGAGATATCATATACCTATCCAAATTAACTGTGATTGAGCCTGTAATCGGAACTACTTCCCAATGAATTTGAATTTGGATATGTCAGTTGTTAGTTGAACGACAATAATCCTATTTTAATAAATTAAATGTATTACGCTAAAGCATTATTGATAGTCATCTTTTTTTTTTTTTTTTTA